TTCTTAAGAGAAATGTTGCAGCTTATTATCTCTCAGGAAAATCTTTGGTCCTCACTTTATTTTACAAAATAATGGAAAAAGGTAACTCAAAATGGACATAGCTTAAACAGAGTGAAAATGTGAGTTTGTTTTCTTAACAGACTGTTTCATGGGCTAACAAACCACCTTCCTAGCAACACTAAGGTTTTAAATTGCATTCCTTCCCACCTCTTTTTCTTTCAAGTTAGAAGAAAATGCTTGATGATAGTCAGGAGGAGTAGACAAGAAAAGAAAATCCCTGACTCTAGTCTTAAATTACAGACTTGCTTGAGGAAAACATATAAAAAGCAGAACATCTCTGAAGTAACCTCAAGTTTTTCCAGTGTATAAAGCATTATTTTGTTCATGCTGCTTTCAACCTAGTAATACATTTTATGCAATTTTAATTAAAATACCCCTTTATTCTTCCTTCTGACTTCACCATTTCTTAAAAAATATTTTGACTAATAAAGCTTTTAAAAAAATACTAACTCATCTAATTGAAAATAGATTGGAAGACAAGTTTCCCTGCTCTCTGAATGTTATTAGAAAAACTGGAGTCAATTATCTCTACTAGCATAATAGACTCTTGCTTTTTCAGATTCTCCAAGAAAATTAGCCTTAAGGTTATGCACACTTCCTCATCAGTGGAAGAGAACTCAAAGTAGCTTAAGAATGGTGATTGAAGATGAGCCTGTGTCTTCTTTTATATTTATAAAATTGTACAAATATAATGACAGGGAGGCACTTAAACTGCTGGTGGAGCTTGAAGTGTCCACCGCAGCTCATGTTATTTTTCGGTAGCTGACATGTGGTAAGCTATTTTAGAGTATAGCCTGCATTCAAAAGTTAAGAAAAGTTATGTTACTAGAGCCTTAGGTAAACTAAAGAACACCATACTCTTAGCTTAAAATAATATATATCTAGTTAGCACTACTAGTAATTTTCAAAATGGAATTTTCAATATGTACATGGACAAGACAAACAGTATTTCTGTAGTCAGGTTCCCATTCCCATGCAGAGCTGTGAAGATGAACTCTAATTTGAAGATTACAATACTGCTAAATAGCAACTAAAACTGCTTTAGAAATCATGATCTGTTAATGACCATTTTAAGGTATTTTTAACAGAGTGAATAGCTTTGTCCCAAAGTGTATCTAACTGCTCTCATACTGAAGTTTCAGTTTCATGATTTAAATAATGAGATGGCCTAAACAGTAGGGTTTTTTTTCCCCAAAAAATATTCTTTAGACTTGAGTATATGAATAATCAAGCTTCACAGACTTTACTCCAAAAAAATTATAATTAGAAAACAGAATTAAGGTTCTTACAAATACCCCAAATGCTTCAATCAAGATTTATTCCTGCATGGATGGTGAATTCACTAGGTGAGTCAGCAGCTCCTCTCTACACCACCTAATGTCACTACTGTGAGAAAACTCAAACTCATCCAGGGAGTCCTAGCAAAAGGGATGCAGTTTTTTGTAATGCATTTATGGACTTCGATATTGCAGCCACTGTTGAAAGGTAAATTTTAAGCATACAGGATCAGAACAGGTCAACACAAGTTCCTTCCCAAGCATCTTTTTGGTTCAGACCAGCTCAGATGCGGCTGTGTCTGGAAGCTTCCTCTGGCAGCTGTCCCCCCTGAGAGGTGAAGGTGGTTTAGTACAGCAGTGACTCCTACCTGAACGCTCACCAGCACGAGGGAGTGCAGGAGCCAACCCAAGAAGCTGACGACAATTCTACATCTAAACAACACCGCAAAGACCAAGGCCCAGTGCCCAACATCACATTGCTATGAACACTCTCACTCATAACACACTTTGAAGTCCAGTGGTACAGGTTGCTAGTTATAAGTCCAATAAACAGCACATTTCTCTGACATTTTCACTCTTCTCAGCTGCTTTGGTCTTACTGAACTGCAATGAGAAACTAATCTGGGCTCTTTCAATCTTGCTTTTAAGTAAAAGCGATTAACTGAGCAAAACAGCTAAGAATGTCATAGAACCACCACTTCTTGAAGTCTTCAGTCAGAACTGCTATTCAAAACACAATCTTGCACTCCAGTATTAATTACAGATTACACACATGACTCACTTCATTACTGTGCATTGTCTACAATTAGCTGTTACTGCTGAGGAAAGCAAGCATAGGATCCTCAGCTCTACAGCAATTGAGAGGATGGACTGACAACCAACCAAACCCTGAAACTCATGTCACCGTGCAACTGCTGGAACACTCATTTTGCGTACTATGTAGTATTTTGACTTCTTTTCTCTTACAAAGAATATAATAAAATAAATAAATAAATGAAGGGCAGGAGGACTGATCAGGGCTATAAAGCAGTCCCACACAAGGAAATATTACATGTGTATTTTAACTTGTAGAAAAGAAATGGCAAAGAATATGCAGGTTTAGGTCTATGAAACCACACAAAAGATGACAAGCAGGAAAAAACTACACACTGTTATTCAGAAAATGCATTGGAAAGTGGCAAATGAAAGCTATCCAGCAGAAGCTATAAAAGACACATACTTTTACACACACTGTACAGTAAAATATACTGGAACTCCTGGCACAGGATGCTGCAGAATCACCCTGAGTTAAAGAATTAGGCCACTTACTGGGCAAGGCCTTACTCAGATGCACATAGTGCGTTTCCCTAAGCAACGCTCTGCTAAGAGCTGGGAACGCTCTCTGTATGGCTGACCATGGCCAGTACTGGCTTTGGCCTGGAGACACGTCTGGTCAGCCACAGCACAGCCACTCTTCTGAGCATGCATCTGTTAATGTGCACACATCCCAACTACTGCTCACTGTCTTACAGCTTTTAGCTAACAAACTACTCATAACAGCTATTTTTGATAGGTCATTCTATTAAGAATCCATTAGTATTTCTGGAAATTTAAAAACAAAAAAACATCAAGAAACTGTAAATGCAGCCAAGATGCCTTTTTCTGCCACCAAAGAGCGTAATATTTTTATCAGCTAGTCTGAAATAACAAAAAAATTTAAGCTGGCATTTCCTGATCAGCATGTCTGAGATCACATGCTTTATTTTTTTTAAGAACTGCTTTATGTTTTCACATGTATTGTTTTAATGTATTTCCATTTATTAAATATGTAATTAACAAGCTTTTAACTTGAGTGTAGTATCTCTAAAGTTATGGATTAATAAAATCTATGCTATTAAACTCATAACATACTAAGGGGAGTATTACTCTAGATAAACTAAGTTTGTACAATTAAACCATTATGAAGTACAGATCATTTTCAATAATGTCTGTAGAGAGCTATCAAAGCAGCATAACATGCTGTGATCATCAGAATTCTTTTCAGAAAGCATTCAAATTAAGTTTTCCTGGCATTAACACACACTACCAAAATGCACAAATCATTTTGAAAGTGAGAAGTGCATTGGACAAAAAATCATCACAGATTAAACATATACCTCATGATGCCACTAAAGCATTTTTAGATGTTTTGTATAACAAGATAGAAACCTTATTTTTTTTCTCTGCAATATGCATTTATTTTCCATGCAAACGTTTGACTGAAAATGTTTTAATACACGAAAGCTTGCAGAAATAAATTCTGTTAAATACAGAAAAAAATGTAAATAATGTGGTATTTTTCTCAGAAAAATGTTGTGACAAGATTTGGGCAAAGCTGATCTATTTCCTTAGGAATTGTTCTATTTTCTGTTATAAAACAGCTCAAATATATTTTCTATCCTTCATACATGATGAAATATGATTTACACATCAAATGTGTAAGTTCTCATATGCCCAGCAACTGTGCTAATTTCACAAAGTAAGAAGTAGTCTTACAGCATCAACAATTGCACAATATACAACCATCTGCTCCGTCATTCCTACTGACCCATGTCCACATTATTTCCCATTTCATGCCAAAAGACTTTAAAAAAATTCCTAAGTTACTAATGATATATAGCCTTAACCAGATTTTGATTCACTACTCATACAACGAACATTGAGTTAGTTGCTTCAAATGACTCTAGGTAAAACAATTCGTAGTATGAATGGAATTTTTTTTTAAATATAAACTGATTTTGGTTTTGTGTTTGTTTTTGTTTCTGTTTTTTTTTTAAACTTTACTTCCAATAAACTTGAGCACTTCAAGGCATGTAGTCAAGATGTGAAACCCCTCTTATTTCTACTTCTTTTTAATATACTGGGAACAATTTTTCTTAAATACTTGCTTTGTAGGGCTAGAGTTAGTCTATGATTTCAAAATCAAATTCATAGTTGGAAAAAAACAAAACAACTTTTTCTTCCCCTGTCTCTAAGGTTACAAGTGTAAATAGCTCAGGATGTTACAATATTAAAAAACATTGTGAAAAGTAACAGAACAAGTTGACACTTTCAAATGTGACATTTAAAACAGCAATATTGCTTTTCCAATTTTTAACTCTCGAAGAAAAAAAAAAAAATCAACTGAAGAAGTATTCCCTGAAAAATTTTGGTCAAATTTGCTTTCGTGTTTGCGAAGTTGAAAGAACATACAGCTACATAGTACCTGAAGAGCTCATGCTGATTTTTGAAAATTTTTATAAAGCCTTCTCACGTAACATTCACAGTGTAATTTGAAATTTTTACATGTATCACCCTAGCCTCAGTATCTTTCAATTATCAAGCAAAATTAAAACCCAATGTTTTTAGACTATAAAGTTCAAATTACAAACACTTGAAATTAAGTGACAAAAACGCCCATTTTACTGAGATCTTAATGGTTTTATTCACAAAATAATCAGCTTCATCTTTCCAAAGGAAGAATTTAACAGAAAAACACAAAGCAATAGCTATAAAAAAATGGTACTGAAAACTTGAAAAAGTCTGATAAAATTTACAAATGCAAACTATCACTCTGTACAAAACTTCTGTCTCTTTTTTTTAAAGAAAGTTCAGTAATGGATTTTAAAATACAGTTTTAACATCTCAGAAATGCACATTTAAGAATTATTTCCGTCCGTGTGGGGAATTCTCCCTTCGTCTGTCCTCGTTCTTTCTAGATTCTCTGTACTGGTCAGAATAACGGGTGTACTTGTCTCGGTGTTTCTCTGAACCATTTCTGTATCGGTGTTCTTGTTCCTCTTCTCTTGGACTCGAATTATTATGGGCTCTATCTCCAGATATTGATCTTTCTCTTTTTCTACTGCGATGTCCATTATCTTTGCTCCAGCGTCTGTAGTTTTCATCATCAGACACAGAAGCTCTTCTCTCCGTTCTCTTTGGTTTTGAATTACTGTGTTTATTGTCTAGATCCTTATTTCTTTCATTGTTCCTATCCTTTCCACTATAATAACCGTCTCTGCCATTGGAGTCGTCTCTGTGATGATATTTTGATACGTCATCTCTCCTGTGTGATTCTCTCAGATTTCGGTGATTTCTTTCTGATTTGCTCTCAGTATCACTTCTTTCCTCTTGCTGCCTCCTTCCCATTTTCTTTTCTAGTGATTTCCTTTTCCTTTCATGCTTTTTCCTGGAAACTTTATCAGATTCTCTTTTTTTCTTTTGCATTCTCTTTCTTTTGGCTTTAGAAACATCTGAAATTTTAACAAAACATGTAACAAAAGAGGTTGCATTTTAATTTATTACACTTAACTTGTTCAATTACTTAGAAAATTCTGGAGTTCTTTTGTCAGAAAACTTTTTTGGGTAAGTATCTGGACAAAAGTTTCAAAATAATGAACTTTGATTTTATTGCCCCCCCAACCCCCAGCTGAGTATCTCATGTTATGGGGGAAAATTTACTCATTTAATTGAGGAGGTATTGATTATTTTTAAATGTTTGCCTGCAGGCTTTTTATTTTACACAGAGAAATTCTCCATTAAAGTGTGAACTGACTATCAAGCCCACGATTACTCTCCATTTTTCCTGTAAGCTTCAGTATTTCTCAGTGATTCCACTGTTACTAACACAAGAATCTCATGTTAACAAAAAGCAAGGTCACAATGCACCACCCCAAAACCTTAAGAGCAATCAAATAAGAAGTTGGGGAATTGCCTTCTGCATTTCATCCCATTTACAATGCCTATACAGGTATGGAGAACATGATGCAGCTCAAACTGAAAAGAAACTTCAACTTACCAAAAAAAACCAACAAACCTACACCTGAATGCAAGATACTACTAAGCAGTCATATAAGTGTTAAAATAGAGTAACTCACTAAATGAGAATCTGACATAAGATCTGCAAACCTGTTAATCCAAGAACTGTTTGGTTATGTAAGATATGGTTTCATGTTGGAAAAGATTTTAAATTCTATGTACTGACAGAATTCCAACAACCTTGCTTTCCCTAACTCCAATTGATTAAGAGGGGAAGTGATGCCTGACTTTTGAGAACCTCTACCCATTATTATCCTCTTGTTGACTTGATACAAAAGGACCAGGTATAGGCTGTAAAATCATATATATTTTTGAGAGTGCTTTGGTATATTATTTTTTTTTTAGAAAGATCACCATTCCCAGATCATCCAGTCTCTTAAAACAATTTACTTTTCCAATTACTTCCTGGAAAAGCTGATCAGCCAATAAAGATTAAAAACAGCAGATGGGGAAAAGTCTCCCAACACTATCCTATGAGGAAACAGAGGCATACTAAAATGGCTTGAGGTATATGAACATAACAACGGCCCTCTGGCACATTTTCAGGAGAAACAGTGACAGCTTTGTCAACAACTCAAGATTAAAACTTGTGTATTTCTAACTACAGAGTTGTGCTCATCTCAGTGGAAGAGGTCTTACTCTTTCTGTTTGGTCTTTAGAAGTAACCTCTAGATTCACTGAACAGTAAACACTGAAGTTACAGCTATTTAGAATAAACACCTTATTGTATGAACAGCAGTATCATATCAGCTAATTGTTTCTAATCACTTTCTGAAAATACCACAGCCATAAATTGATTTATTAGTACATCAAATACTTGAGTTCTACATACTTGGAGTTATGACCACTAATGGACCTCAGCCAAGTTTACCATTAAAGAATATAGTTATCTCCAATTAGTGTTCTGACCACTGCATTTCAGCACACAAAAAACAGAAAAAAATAAGTGAAACCAGGCAGCAAAGATATCAAAATGCAAGTTTTAATAAATGAGTTCCTGAATGGAGAAAGGACAACTAGTAAAAGGGAAGGTCCTAAACTAAGAAAATTGAAGTGTTGATACTAGCAGACTGCAGACGCAGTTGGTTTGTCACTAAGGACGTACCTCTCTGGTTCCTATGAAGCAGCTCAGCAGAGCTGCAGCTGTCTACACAGGAGCCATCTGGCTCTTTGCTGAACCAACACCTTCTCTGACCCTATTTAACAGTGCCCTCCTCTAGTGCTTTGTCGTCATTAATGCGATTAACGTGATGACACACAAATCAGACTTTGTACAGTAAGATTGCAATGAAGAACAAAAAATGCATTCTCAAAGCATGAGCAGCTCCTACTGCTTTTATTTTATTAATCAACATTTTCATTTCAAAGGCATATAATAAATCAAATTAACTTTGAATTAGCAAGCTTCTGTACTATAGAAGGTCATGCTGTGTTATCATCTGCTCATGTTATACACATTGGGGGAGACTGCACACACACTAACTCATACTAGGATGTACTTTACAGAATAAGGAATGTTTATGACAATTCATGTCAAATAGGAGGTTCTACATCAGCAGGATGGTATAAGTTGCTGAACACTAACTATAAATACATAAAACTACAAAATACTAAGTTGTCAGCAAAAGCTAATTCTTCCTTGGAGATTTGTCTACAGACAAAAGCCTTCACTACACAACCTCTTCTCAGGGAAGAGGAATTTGAAATGGAGACTTGGAAAGAGAATAAAGTTTAAACACATTGTTAGAACTGAACAATGTGATTTCTGACCCACAAAGCACCACATTATTTACAGGGAAGGACACAAGTAGTTTCAAGCTGTGTCAATCAAGACAAGCAAAAAGAGTTGCAGACATTAGTCTCTAGAGTTAACCAGAAAGTATCTCCCAGAGATGTTAATAGGGAATGCCTCCATCCTCCACTAAACTGAAGTGATAGCACTGTGCAACAGGTATCAACTGTGTAAAACAGCAATCTGCAAAACAATGTTCCTCAGATATTTAAGTTTCTAAAAATGGAACTCAGTTTTTCTAAATTCTAAAATCAAGTATTTAATATTTTAAAACATGTACATTTAAAAAAATTGATTAGTTCTTAAAGCAGAGAAACACTGTATGTAGCTAGATTTTTTTTTTCTAAAATCAAGTATATATAGAAATAGAAATAAATATTTTTATAGAGGAAAATTAAAGAGAAGTAAATAGTTATAGCTAATGTTTAAGTACCTGAGTCACTGCTGTTGTCACTGCTAGATGAAGAGTCACTGCTGCTGGATGACTCTGAGCTACTACTGCTGCTGTCAGAATCAGAATCTGAGGAAGAGTCTGTCTCTGAAGATGAAGAGGAATCTGATGACTCAACATCTTGTTTCTGTGTCATTATCATCTTTGGTGCATTTTTAAGATGTTCCCGTAATTCATCTCTAATTATGAACAACAACAAAAAAATAACATTTTTTTTTGGCAGGAAGGAGGAAAAAGAAGGAAAGTAGGTATCAAATCAGAAGAGTGCTCCTTACGTTAGTCCTCCAAGGCCAATAGAGGTGAAGAAATTGATGGCAAAACGAGTGTTTCTTGGGTTATCCCGAGGCAATAATCCCTCAAAGAAAGTCTGCAATGTTCTGATGGAAACAAACATTTAAATTAAATGCCATGCCAGCTTAGCACTAATTCTTATCAATATTAATAAACTGAAAAAGAAACTGTACGGATCTCCATTGGACAGCAAAAATTTTCTCTTCATGCATTTTTCAATACTTTCACTTTTTATATCTGTGATGTATCTGACCAAAAAGCTATTTAAAAAATTGCTCTTTTATGAAAAGAGCAAAACTTCTTCACACATAGAATTACATACATACTGTCAGATTATGACAACAGAAAGCCTGGTTTTATGAAGCCTGAAGAGAGTTGTGAAACCACAGTAGCCTGTGACAGCAAAGGATAATACTTGCTGACCAAGAAATTCAAAGATCGAGGTACCCAGATCTGAAATCCCAAACAAGGCCCTAAGTATGGTTTCAAGTTTAAGTTTACATGAGCTAAAGCATCTACTAAATTCTTAATCATACACAGAAGAAATCCCAACTTACAGGAAATAGCTCAAACAACTGAAAGGAAAATTGCCAGAATGCAATGCATTAAAAATCACATACAGACTGAAGAGAATGTTATTTACACTACATTTAAGGATAAGCAACTAATCCTAGAAAAACTGCTATTAGTAGTTATGTGCTTCTTTTTACAGTTTTGTCAGAAAAAGAAGCCACGGTAACATTTATTACGTAGCTATATAGCTGATAATACGTAAAGATAGACTTGCACTTAAAAAATTCTTATACAAGCTGAATATCACTTGAGGATAAAAAAAAAAAAGACAGACCTTACAAATAGTCACACACATCCTTGAACCCAAACTGATATTAACATACTCAGCTTAATGGGACTCTTTGCAATGACTGTATCTATACATGAATTTAATTCTTAAAAGTACTGCAGCTACAGAACTGCAGTCTTAGTTGAACCTGAAAACAGAGTTACCACCTGTACTTTTTCAGGTAATGAAACTAATTGAATTTAAAGTTTTGAAAATAAATGCCAACTTACTCATCCTTTAATCTTGCGTTTAGATTAGGAAGTCCCATGTATTCGCTGAGCTCCTGAAAGAATATTTTCACAAATATTCTACTGGAGGATGTGGTGGTTTCTTCACTCAGTATTATACATTCAAGGACCTGAAAATATTTAGAAAAAACCCCTTAACTTTAAACATACTTTCTTCTATTTATCTTAAAAACTTGTGTCCTCTTGAAATAACTAATAAAATTTTTTTTTCTCCCCTCCCCCGTCCCCCTCCCTCAAGAACATAAACCCTGTAATTCCTAGTCAAGACTTTCTTCCTCAAAAATACTTTTCTACCACCTGGAATCAGCTTCTGATCATATTTATGCTACTTCTTTCTCCATAAGAGAAAATCAGGTATTTTAACTTCTGGGAAGCTAAAAGATTTGAGAGTTAAGTTCTAAAGAGGTGAACTATTAGGACTGATTTATGTGTGCCTGAAGAATGACAATTAGACTAGACTGTGAAGCAAGGATAAAGAGTATGGAATGTTACTTTAATAATGAATGCTTCATTTTTAATGTTATATTACTTTATCTCAGAATGTGGGATTGCTTTTATTTATTTGGCACTTAAATCACAAAATGGCAGTATTGTTAAATTTCTTATAATTCTATTACAATTTTTAATTTAATATATTAAGATAATTTTTAAATGTTTCTTTAGGCTTTTTTTTTTAGAGACAGTTCTGCTATTCACATTGCTGATTAGAAGTTCAAAATTATAGAAGAAAGTATATTTTAATCAAGCAATTCTAGCTGAGCTCCATAAAATAACAGCTTAAATTAACTACGTCAGAATCAGGGAGGGAGGATGATGATGTACAGGGGGCAGAAAGGGGAGTTAGAGCAATACTGAATTGTTCAACACTGTCTGAGAAGATATTTTAAATAATTTACAGATACAGGTAGCTCCAAGTTGTAGAATACTAACACTAATATATTATATATTATTTCTGAATACTGGAAATTAATTATTGAAAAAGAAATCTAGGACAATAGCCTTTTTTACTTACACTCCAGGGAATTGAATCGGTGTACAGTAGATGAGCAAACATCTTGGCAACATTCCTCAGTTTGTTCGTTTCCAAACGATGAATGGTATCGTATTGTTCTTTGAAAATAGCTTCAAAGGATTCCATATACTCTTTTTTTAACATGCAGAAACGCTGAGACAACATTGTACAATTTAAACAACCAGATTAAACAAAATATTAAACATGCAAATAAACCACATGTAAGTGACCTAACAATGCAAATATTTACTGCAGGATTTTCCTTTTAAACAGCCCTTGGAGGAGAAGAAAATGGATACATTTATTGCTTTCAGCAGTTTGTCAGAACAAGAAACTCATCTGCATTGCAAATTGGCAATTATCAATTTTGAACTGCAGCAAATTATCCAGCAGTTTCTTTTGCTTCTGTACATCCAGTATTTTCACCTGATGTAACCCCATCAGATGTAACTTTTTCTCATTACATCACTGAATGACTACTGAAAATTTGAGAGGCAGCAGGGAACAGAGGTAAGACAGTTTGGATGTAAACATTCCAAAGAACATGGAAATTAGCATTTCTGAATGTGTAGATTCATATGGTTAGTGTTTTGTAACTGACTGTCAGCAAAAGCATTTTCTCAAATACCAGATAATAAATACAAATGGGAAAAAATCCACTTCCTTTCAGCGTAACTTGCTCCCTTGAGAAGACAAGTATTTGATCTTAACTGTCAATATCACAGATAGGGAAAACTTAATGAAGAAATAACTGCAATTAGTCACACAAAAACAAAGAGCTAGCTGTCTACTGAAAAACAAAAAACCACCCACAATGAAGTGGTAGAAGATGAGAGTCTCCAAAATTAATCTTCAGCACTGTAAAAAGGATATTTTTCTGGTAACTTATAATATTTCTACCTCTTTTTAGCACCATTCCTTTGTTTCTGACTTACTGTTCTACCACAAGAAGAAAAGAAAGAAGCAGAAAGAAAAAAAGCAACGCTATAAAGAGAAAATGAGTTCTCATTCTGCATTCACCATGCTTATTACAATCAAAATGTTAACTGAATTCACTAATACAACTGATCAATATAACAAGTTTCAGAATTATAAAAAGACTATTAAAACCTAAGTCTGACACAAAAAAATAGAGTAAACCAATGAAATTATCTACCCTCCAGTGTAAAATGAAAACAGAACTCACCCCTGCCAGTAAGCCAAAGAATTTCTCATATGTTCTTTGCTGAGCACAGCAGTCAAGTATCATATTGCAGAGTTCTTTCTGGATTAAGAAACAAAAAACCAACCAAATCAACAAACATGTCTTTAGGTAAATGTACTGTAGCAGCAAAAAAAATTATTACTGCACACCAAAACACTGAGGAATCCAGTCTTACATGGATGCAAGCTTTGAAGCAAGAGTATTTACAGAAAACTTCATTGTCAACATCAGCAGTTTGCTGAATTTCTCAAGTCATCTGGGATATGAATATGAACTTTCACCATTCATATTTCCTCTTCTGCTTCAGCTAAAATTTATGAGTTAACACACTATACATCTAACCAAAAAAGGTCAAGACTAATTTACAAACTGACTTTACCACAGTGCAAAAATGATATACAAGATAAAAGGGGAAGGTTTTAAAGGGCTTTTTTGTGGGTTTGGTTTTGTTTGTTTGTTGGAGGTGGGACTTTTTGTTTTATTTGTTTTCTAGATAGCACCAATCCCTGTATTTCTAGAAAATGAAGATTCTTCACAACTTTCAAACAGCAAAATGGCTTACAGACAAGCCATTTGGAAACTCAATGTCTCAAAAAAACCCCTCAACTCTCAACTCAAACTAAAAACTCAACTCTCCTCACATGGATATCAACTATCTACAACAGTTAGTCCCAGCCTTTTTGGAACACAGGTGGTCCAACTCCCTTTCTCCTTGTTCCCCAACACCATCACTCCAAGGTCATGACTGAACCAGCCTCTGGCAGCTACCTCCTCCTATTCCTTCACACACATCAAGCCAAGAACCAGAGGGAAACACACAGGTGAATAGGACCAGAGAGCCCTTCACTGGCTGAGAGCAGTGATCCAGGCAAGTCAGCGCACACGAGTTTAAAAACAAACATATTCCTCTGACCTAAAGTCTAAGTTACGAATTGTAATCATACAACTATGAACTGGTTTAGGGCACATTTTGAAACATTAGTTAAGACAAGCGAAGCAAACACTTATATATAAGTTAAGAGTTATGAAATACATGGCACTTAAAAAGGGCTGTAGTTTTTCTCCATTAATTTTTTCCATTATTATTTTCTCTTCAGAACAACTCTATAGCATAAACCAATTTATGACACTCCCAAATAGGTTTTCAGCTGTCAGCCATGTATCTTCCACAATTAGCTTTATTTCTCTTTAAACTAACAACAACACTCTTATAAAAAAATACTGAAAGTTTCAGGCATTTTGTACTTTTTGTATCTGACACCAGTTTACAGTAACATACACCAGTTTTCACAGTCTCCCACTTGTACCATTCTTCCAAGCATGTATTCCAGACAAATATTTTGGTGATCAAAAAAGCCAACCATGCTGAACTCCCTTCAAGTAATGAGGCAGTAACGTATCAAACAAACTTACAGATGTGCTCAAAGGCATTCCTTACAGCACTGTCACACTCCGTTAGTGTGATGTATTAAAATGCATATTAACTTTTTATATTATCCTGTTTTACAGTAACGTTGCAGTTAATCAGTTTTTAAACAATAAAAAGGGTAAAGTGCTGATGCCACTGCTAATAACATCAGCAAGACTTGAAAAACAAATTACTTTTCTTACTCATCTTAAATGCAATTACAAAATCAGTATCCCCAGTGGTTTATAGTAATTAAATATTTTAACATTTTAATTAAATATTACAATGATTTCTAGCAGGGCATCTTGAATAACCACATGCATAAAAAAAGATTTGTCCACAAAGGCGTTTTTTGCCAGTGTTATCTAAACTATCGAGGTTAGGTCTAGAGTAACTGTCTTCCAGATTAGAAATTAACGAACTTTAAAGTGATTTAATTATTTTTTGAGAGATGTGACAAAGTTCACATGGCAATTCTAGCCTCATTGATAGCTTTAAATGTTAGTTAACTCATTTCTGTACACCCAATGATAACACTTCTGGTGATGCTTATGGCAGGAAGAGCCTATGTTTTTTAGTGCATCCCTTGCTTTAAGGAATGCAATCAATTTGTTTCCTAATTTCGCAGGCAACTTATATACTGTGTTGTTTAGCAGTTTGCATACAATGCTCAAAAACTGACTATCCAGCTTAGTTAATAAAAAATGTAGAGCTACCCAGTCAAGAAGTAAAACTTCTTCAAAATTTCTGACATCCCATCCAGATGGTGAATCATCTTTTGTAAAGATACTTAATTCATTATTGTATCATGGAAAAAAAAGGCACTTCCCAAAACTGCTAGGACAGAAGACAAGGAGAAAACTCCCTCTAAAAACACTGCATTTCTTACAGTACTCCCCAAACATTTCCTGCTAGCTCCTGTCCAAGCAGAATAATGGTTTAGATGGGCCACAGCTCAACCTAACATGGCAAGTATCATCATACATTTAAAGATGCTAAAGGGTAGACTAGGAAAAGACAGAAAAATTGAACTTGCTTTTTTCCCCAGCTTTACCATATTAAAAACCAGGCACACCCTGCCCACTCTATATCCTCTCAGCTTCACACAAAGGCTATGTTCACTGCAGACAGAGCTAAAGCAACTCTGCTTTCTCACTCCCTTCTGATCTTCTGAGCTGCCTCGCAGGCTGCCTCCAAGCAGAGGTCTCACTCTCCCCTCCCTAGCTGGAAGTGATGCAATTTCCATCTCCTCTCCCTTGCCAGCCATGCAGATCTGTTCCATCCATTGCTTACAGAAGCTGAAGCAATCATGAGGCATCCCCACCCTGTAAGCTAATGTAGCTTCTCAAAATAGAAAACTATCAATGCCAGCACTTGGGTTCTAGAGTCATACAAGGAACTAAAGGAATTAACTTGCTCAAAGCAAACCTAGTTAAGGACATAGATTGGTTTAAATCAGTGTGAAATTGTAATTATGTTAAATTAGTGCCTTGCTTTTTATACATTTGCACTGCTCTTACAGATGGTATGCTCTTCCTTTTTCCCTCTTATTCCAGCTGAAGTGTATTTTACTTCTGTTTACTCCCTCAAGCTTACTCTACCTCTGCATATTTTACTGTGTGTAACCATCACACGTGCCTACTTCTTCCAGCATCTCTCCTTTTTTCTCTTCTTTATCTATCAAATTGCCACTTAGAGCCAAGGCTGGCAAAGGCACAGAACATGCTCCAGTAGCAGGTAGCCTCTTGGCAGACCCCACGCAGTGCTTTTGGCAGCTACTGTACTCTCTCCAAGTCTGTCCTGTGTTCTGTCAACTAACGGCCATTCTTAACTTTTATTGTCCCTTTATGCACCATTTTTTACCTCAGCTTGTTCAGCTTAAAGCTAAATATGGTTATCAAAAATCATGCACAAATCAGACCTACAACATTTCATACAGGAATCATTAACTGGATATAAGGATAAATACATTTTTAAACACACTGCTACAAGCCTGGAACACACGCACGCATGAGTCTGGTTAAATAACGTATTAAAGCCCAACAGTATGTGCTTCCCTTCCACCTAAAGGCTACACATGCAAAACTTTAAGTAATGCCACTGAGATAACCTGAGCAATTCCATCTCCTAGGTTAAATGCATACATACATGTTTGAAAGGTCAAAGTCTAGTTATAATTCTAGCTAATGCCCGTTATCAGTAACACACAAATACAGCATAATTCTGTATGTTTGCTATACCTTCGTTTTGTAGACATAAACAAACTACAACATACACAGAAAAGGAAATGAGCTTCCAAATTATATAATGAAACTGGCTACTTTTACCTCATTAGTATCATTAATGTCTAAAATATGCAGTTTTAGAAAACTTAAAGTTTATTGGAAATACTTTAACAAGTACAATCTGTCACATTTGTAAAGCATATGCAGCCTATATTCCAAAAAATACAATTAAGCTTTAAGCACTCAAAACAGTTCAAAATCAACGTTAGATTTAAAAAAAAATATATTGTAAGAGCTGAAAAATTTGAACTCATTTAAAGTTATAAGTGTATGCTTAAAATAATGTTATCTAATAGATAGAATGTAGTTAAAAGAGTACTTTTCAAAGCTTAAGTTGTGTTTCTAGGACTTCATCCCATATAGGTATGGTTTAAAAGACCTCTTTTAATCCATTACTAATTATTTCAAGTGATCTTTTGAATAATCCATCTATATTTAGATGATTTCTCCTGTCAAAGCTGAGCACCTTTGTGTGATCTACAAGCCTATTAGAGGCTCTACTCCTCCATTCCATCCTTCAGGTCATTAGAGAAATCTCAGGTCAGAGAAACCAGCTCATTCACACCTACTGAACTATTGAGAAACGGTTTTAGATTTTAATTATGTAATCTACATTATTAACTGGAGAGAATGAAAGAGTAAACCAAGTCCACTACTGGCTCTTTCAAAATTCTAACTCAATATTCAAATTCTGCACCTCCATGTGCATTTCCACATGTTCTGTATCTTCAGGGATTAGACTGACATTAACAGCACTGTGTTACACAAAACCACTGAGGAAACAAGACCCTGTCCATCAAAATTTTATATCCTAATTATAGACCATTTAGAAGCAGGTTTGGTTTGGGGTTTTTTTTGTTATTTTTCTTGTTTGTTTGGGGGTTTTTGGTGTTTTAGTCTTCAGAGGCTTCTACATGTGTAAAAAACAGGTCAAAAATACCATGTAATTTCCAAAAACTGATCAGTGTAAAATGGTCTGTCAGTAACATAATTCAAACAAGTATCCAAATCAACACTTTGACTCAAAAAACAAAGTCAAATTTCTAGGAGGAGTGTGGGCCCACCTCAAACTCAAGGCTACTGATAACACTAGTAACTCCTTTCTTTCTTCAACACTTTCTGAAGACTCCTGAGGAACAGACTTCAGACTGCTTTTCAACTTGTGATCTACACACCTCTGGCATCAAATATATTACTCCCATTTTAAAGATATAATTCACAAGCCATATAAGCTAACTTACGTATCTTATGTACTGAATGAACACCCTGTAAATTGATGGATTGTCAAAAGTATTCCCAGAATCATACAGGTCAAAGAGACAGCCAAACAGTTTAAGAAAGTAGGTCCTGTAGGTAGGGATTGGTTA